TGTACGTAGTGAAGAAGAAAACTAAAACCGGTAATTAAATAAACAAACAGATTTATTTTACAACATAGAATATATGTGTGTATATATATATATATATTGTATGTATATGTATACGATCTTATCGGTGATGCCGAAATATTCGTTCATTAATATAATATATACTAGTAACGAATGTTTCCAAAAAGTATTTTTTTTTCTTTTTTTTTTCCTCTTTTTTTTTTTTTTTTTAATATCTTTTAGTCTTTAAACTTGTGTGTATTCAATGATATAATGATATCTTATAGCAGTTTGTGTGCTACGAGTATGCTAAATCGTTGCCGATAACAATTATTCCATTAGATTGACCGGAGATACGAGAATCTATAGTGGTCTTCGATATTCGATTAAAATCGTTCTTAATTATCAGTATTTTTTTTGTTTTTTTTTATTCGTTTATTTATTTATTTATTTATTATTTATATATTTTTTTTTTATGGTTTGTCAGTAGCATGGGTATGGTTGGCAGTGGTGGCGTCAGATAGGACGGTCTCCTTGCTAGAGTTAGTGGCGAGCTCCTCTTCCCTGCAATATAATAATGTTACATGGCCAACGAGCCTCGAATCGTTTTTGTGTTTCGATTTTGAGAGAGAAAATCGTAGTTTCGCGCCGTTATGTACAAGGAAACTTTTCATTATAAGAACGTATGCGCGTATCAAGAAAATAAGAAAAGGGAAATCGTTGGAGATTCCCAAATACCGTAATTATCGTGGAACATCCGTTTCGAGATTTATCAAGCCTCTGTTAATAATAATCTGGTCGGCTGTGTCATCTGACGAAAATATTTGATTAAAAGTGACCCATTTTATTTATCGTGGATGTAAATTGTCGTTATCTATCTTCAACGTGAAAATGAAATGATAAAATTTTCCGAGATGCAGAGATGTTTTAAAGAATTTTGTATTTCATTTTAGAAAGGAATATTTTGTATTTCGATTACAATCAAGTAATTCCTAGTGTTATTAAAACCAATCTCGTTTGAAACATTAGAGATTGGTTTTTTTCTCAATAGGAATCATCTATTTGTATTTATTCATTTATTCTTTTTTGTTACGTATTAGATATACAGCTTGCTCGAAACTTTGTAATTGTAATTGTTAAAATGTTAATGCATATGAATATATTGATACAAGCTGTAAAAAAGATATACATATTTTTTTTTACGTATGAAATTTATTCACGTGATGCCTTATATCGTTCATCATGATTTACCTAAATAGTTTATAAATATAAATAGATATGTATATATGTATATGTATAATAATAATGATCACATAAATGCGTTTACTGACACAATAAAAGTCAAACATACACAATCATAAATTGATAAGTAGCACTCATTCGATCATAAAAGACAAGAAGAAAATGGCTTTTTATACTAATTCTATGTCGTTTATCAACTAGCGTACGGCTGTTATGTAAACGAATAAATTTAATAAAATTCCACTAAATCATAAGCAATCACAGACTGACTATCGAGTATTAGAGTTCATTCATATGTATATGTATATAAAAGCTGTTAACGATTCATCGAATGTTTCGGCAAAACCTTTCTTCAGCGTAATTTATAATAAAAAAAAAAAAAAAAAAAAAAAAAAAAAACAAAGAGGATGAATGTGAAGAAAGAAAAAACAGAAAAGAAAGAAGAAAAGAAGAAAAAAAAAAATATAATTGCGTAGCTTGCGAGTTTATCAAGAGCTGCACTGATCAAACAAGGGAACGTGAACGTAAAATTGCTTTCACGCTTCACGTTAACATTTCCCTTCTTTTTTTGTCTCGTATTAATTTTCAATTACTTTCTTTTTTTTTTTTATGTTTTGGGGTATAATAGATTATGCAAAGCGGCTCTTGCTGCGTTTGCCTATCGAAGTAAAAATGTATCTATATATATATATCATATTTGTATATAACTCAGAAATCATTTGTACGCCAAACAGTAATGTAAGCACTAACATGCAATCGCACAGTACAGCGCCATAAACTCGTGCCAACTATCGACATGAAAATTATTCCAAGACTGATCTGTCGTCGAACATTTATCGGGTATTGGTATAGACTAAAAAGGAGCATGCTGTAAAATACAAGGCTCCAAGAAGGGAATCAAGTAAGTAGTCGGGGCTGTTATGTATAGCAAAACCTTGTTAACAATTAATCAGGTTGTATTGCACTTTGTTTTTTTTTTTTTTTTTTTTTAATCTTTCTTTTGCGGCGGGATTGCGAAATTAAAAGCGAAATTATATTATATTAATCACATAATAGCCCTGAAGAATTATTAGAAACTGTGAAATGTATCTTCGCAAAAGAAAAACCAAAAACAAAAAAAAAAAAAAAAAAAAAAAAAAAAAAAATTACAATTTGTCGTAAACGAGATTTATTCATGCAATCTATATATTCTTCTCGTCTTTACGATTAATATAATAGCCTGACTGGTAGCGCATGAGATGGAAACTCACATGAGCTGATAGTAGTAAGTAAAGATGTTTCAACATGCCAGGCTGTTAGACCGAAGTTAATGATGGTCACTTAAAAATAGGCAGGGGCAGGATTATTTTTCGCTTGCAGAAGCAATGATCGAGGGTAAATTGAGCTCGAATTTGATACACATCAAAATCTCACCTTTGTGGAAAATGGGAAAAAAAAAATATTATAACAAATATAATATAGATAATAGATAATATATAATTATGCGGCTAGATTTATAAATGATTTGGCGGGAGAATGAAGAAGAAGAAGAAGAAGAAGAAGAATAATAATAATGGATGTATGATTTGCTAAAAAATAATCCTTTCTTTAAAGACGACTAGTGGTGTCTTTGGTAATTTGATTGTCATGCAGTTAAATAATCTTTAGAAATTCATATAGTATATTGTAACAAAGCCACCACAGTAACAGGAAATTTATTATGTGACTCACCCATAAAGTCTGCTGTCCCGCAAGCTGCTCCTGCTCCAAATAACATAGAAAGCACAATTACGATATGTAGAACATAATTTTCATTGTGTGAAAAAAAAAAAAAAAAAAAAAAAAAAAAAAAAAAAAAAAAAA